TGCGCCCACGTGGAAGGGGGGGGGAAAGCAGCGTTGGCGTGGTTATGTGCATGGAACCAACCAACCAACACAGGCGCAGGCAAGGATTGGTGAGGAGCAGGTACAGCAGGGAAAAAGAAAACAGGCAGGCCGTAGGCTGTGCACGAACAAAAGGGCGGCGGCAAGACCTTTGTGTCTCCTCTGGACGTCGAGCACATTCCTGCTAGTCGTATACGCCCCCAAGGAGCGGACCCTGAGAGGTAGCCGGACAGCCAACCGACTGGGACGGCCGCGAGGCGAGACAGGCAGGATACTCCAAAGGGACGCGACACGGCCAACACTGGCATGGCATTGGCATGTAAGTCAATCAAGGTACTGCACGTCGCACCAGGTCTGTCTCTGCGGCTGCATGGGGTTTCTTGGGCGGCACGGACCACGAACGAGCCTTTGGAACGGACGGCCCCGGGGGCGGCGGCGGCGGCGGCGGCGGCGGCTTGCGACGGCACGGGACGGAACGGGAGAAACACACTGGAGGACGGAGACGGAGACGGAGAGACAGACCCACGCAACGCAACCGGCCAACGCAACGGGTGAATACAGTGTGCGGGGCTCTGCACGGCCACGGTATATAATTCGTAAAAACATTGCATATCGGTGCGGATGCAGGAGGCTTCCACGAGCAATGGCCAAGGCAGCAAGCAAGCCAAGGCGAAACCAAAAAAAAGGGAAGAAAAGAAGAGGCAGAGGCAGAAAAGAAAAAAAAAGGATGGAAGGGGAGCGCTAGTTACCGCCTCGCCCCGGCTAGCTCAATGCCGAGCTCAACAAGAGCAAGAGGGTTTGCGTCTGGCCAAGGACGGGGCCTTTCTTTTTCTGGGCTGTTGTGCGTCCGTCGTCAGCCTCAGTCCCCAAGGGATGGCGACTGCAGCAGCCGCCGCCGATTCTGGTTTGCAAGTAAACAGGGTGTGCGACGGGCTGCGCGGCCGAGGCATGTATGGCTCGGTGGATGCAGCATTCGTTGGCGAGAGGGGGAGAGTTCGACGACGGGGAACGGGGGAGCGAGCTGGGCCAAGCAAGGAGACGACGAGGCGCCCCCCCCCCCAGCAGGCGAGGGAACGAGGGAAGGGGAGAAAAAAACTCGGCTCCGTCCGTCATTCCACAACCACGTCACCCACCGTACAGTCCACGCCCCCGGTACGGCATACGGCATACGTACCCGCTCCCCCTTGCCTGGGCCGGCCCTGGAGACGCTCACCGTTGGATGAGGGTCGAGGCCGGGTAAAATTGCGGAAAAAGGTCTCTCGTGCCTTGTACAAAAATACTGCTGACTCTGGCAAGGGAAACAAGACTCGCATTTGCCTCGCCCGAAGCAACACGAGACCAAAGGAACCATGCCGGCGCGGCTCAGGCGGCGTCGCCTTTGCCCCGGCCACGTAGAACAAGATGAATAAATCAAAAAATCGCACCACGTACGCACTCTGGGACAGAAGTGGATTCGTAACTATCGTAGGTGCTGTTTTTTTTTGTCTTGGGAGCATCCTGAAACACGGCCATGTATGTACAGTACATGGACTCTCTGACCTTTCTTCTTGATTAACCACCTTACCGTACGTACTGTAACGTGATTGATTGAGTTTCTGTGGTAATGAGCTGCAATGTCCCGCGGGGCCCTTGGATGGATGTACTGTACATGCAGTAAATTGGCCTGGTGATTCCTGTCCCGGCGAGACCAACACGGCCATGTGCTTGGCGGGCGATCCGTGGGCGGGAGCTCCCGGGCCTGGCCAATGGATCCGAGTCCCGACGACAGCGATGCCGACGATCGGAGAAACAAGGGGACGAGGGGAAAAAATCAAATTGAAAAAGGCAACAGGAAGCGAAAAAATTGGCTCTCGGCAGACGGAAAAAGAGCCATGACAGGAGTCATTGCCTGCAGCCCGCTGGTACTTCTCATGCATCGTCCGAAAAAGTCGCATGACACAGCTGGGCCGGCATAATTGCCTGCTCGTCGACGCCGGCCCTGCGAGGCTTTATTGCCTGTGCCCCCCGGCATAGCGCATCCTCCCAGTATCCAGGCATTCAGGCATTGTGTGTGCACTTTCTCTTCAGCTCCTCACGTCGGCGCCCAGCTCGTCCACGCTGTATGTATACCACGCTGTATACTCGGTACAGCACAGCCCTACGAGGAGGCGGCGGTACCTCGCGTCGCACCGTCCGCTCCACCCGGTGCCAGGTACCTGGCGCTCCACATTCCTACCAACACGCCCTCTCTCTCTCCCTTGCAGTCCCGCAGAGGCGCTCTTATGAAAAAGCAGCGGGCAACAAAGGACCCGGCCAGCGACCATGCCGTCATATGCTACCATCTGAACCCACCACGATTTCTTCCTTTTTTTTCTACTTTTATTCTCCTCGGGAAAAAAAAAGAAGACAATCGGCGCCATTCCTTCGCCGGGGCATGCAACGCGAAACACACAACCCAGCAGCCCGAGTCAGAAAAAAAAGAGAAACCAGGGAGGCAAAGATCGGGAGTCTGTCTGCATTAGCGGACAACGCACAAGCTAGACGGGGACTAGCATGCAATAGAGAGAGAGAGAGAGAGAGAAGAAAATTTCCATGGTCCCCCGTCGTGCTTTACTCAGACGTCAGGCAGAGACAAAAGAGACGCATCTGCAACAGGGTTGGGCCAGTAGGAGATAAAGTCCGAGAAACAGGTAGATGGAACAACAAGGAAAAAGCGATTCTAGCCCTGTTGGTCGAGACACGCATCTGACTCTAAACCCTTTGCTGCATTTCCCTGCTTTGTGCACGTTCTCAACCCGACCAGGCTAGACGATTTGATCCCTTATTTATTTTTATTTTTCCTTCTTCTTCCAGCGCTGCAGTACCGTGCCGTACCGCACTGTACCCTACGCATCCTTTCCCATTGATTCTTCAGTGGCTTGCTCTCGTCGGCCCCCAAATCTCCACTTCGTCTGGGAGCCGTAGTCCGCATCGGGAGGACCCCACGGCTCGCTGATCTCCGTCCGCCCGCCGCCAAGCCTCCAGCCCGATCCGCCTCCACTCCCCGGCCTGCTGCGACGCTGGCACGATGCGACGACGGCGACGGCCTCCGCCAAGCCAGTGGGAGGAAAGGGAAAAAAAAGTCAGGCTTGTGTCAGGCCGGTGGAAAAGGCCGGCCGGGCTGACTCGCTCGACAGACCTTGTGCGCAGGACCGAGAGCCGTTCCAAGGAACAAAGGGCAGGAGAGATTGAAGGCCGTGGAATTCGCCCCCAAGCAAGACACAGCACAGCACAGCACAGCACAGCACAGCCAGCCCCGACGGGCTCGCTCGCGTGCACGGCCTGGCTGGCCGTTGGTCTCGTCCTCTCGTCCCATCCCCATCCCATCGTCCACGGTGCCCATGCGAACCCAGAAAAGTCAATTTGCATCCAGGTGCGACGAGTATTCGCGCCTTGCCAGGCATGTTTCGTCATCCCTCGTGGGCTTCTTCTAGTCAGGCCCGAAACGCCTCGCAAAACCAAACAAAACACGCTCAGTCAGTCGTCGCCTGGCCCCTCTCGCAGCGTAGACAGCGCACGTAATCCCTCCACTGACTCTTCCCCTCAGCCCTTTTGCTCTCGTGGTTTTTAACATGTTTGATGTACATGGAAAATCCGAATCAAGGTTTCGAGTCTTGGTTCCTGGCCGCCGCCCTCGACCCGCCGTGGCAAAGTAGCATTGCAACAGCCCTACCCCGAAGTAGGTTAGGTACTGTAGCTGCCCCCGAGAGGCACCTACTATGTAATTACAGTATGCCCTGCAAGGAACAACGAACGACCTCTTGTCTTGTGCCTTGGTTGGGCGTCGCAGCGGTAGCATCCATGTAGGTAGCGTGTACGCCACCACCACCACCACCGCCACCATCATCGTCTTCGGCTTGGCCGGGTAGCGCAGCCTCGCGCGACGCCTTGCACCGGCGCTTTCCCTGTGGCCATGAAGAGTTTTCAAGACAAGAAAAAAGACATGAAAGTGCACAGGGATGGGGGGGGAGAACAGAACAGCAATAATCTGCACCGGCAGTTCCGCCGTCGCACGAAGCGCCGTGGACCTGGGCCTTTGCCGAGCGACTGCCCCAGACCCCCCCCGGTACTCCGTACATGACGGGCCCTGCCGTTTCGACTCCATCCGCCCGTGTCTGGTCTGTCTATCTGTCTGTCGGTTTGCATGTCTGTCTGTCTCCATGTCCGAGTGCGCGATACATACAGTACATCGTACAAGCTTCCTCCTCGTCGCCAGCGCGAGCGAAACTTGAATCGAGGCAAGACAGCCGAGGCATCAACAGACGTCTGACACGAGGCTTTTTTTTTCGAGACACAGCCAGTATTGATTGATTCAAGCCGCCTGGCTTTCAGCTACGTACTCGTACTCTATCTCGCTTGCCAGCCCCACCTCTCCGACTCTCGCATCCACCCGCCGGCAACATTCTTTTTGCTTCTTCCACAGCACAGCTTGGACCGCCGCCTTCAATCCGTCTTGTTCGGCCTCTCGTAACCTCCCAGCTCGCCTACTTTTCGTCATCCCAGTGTCATGCTCATCCATCCAGTTTCTCCCGTGCCATGCAAGTAAACAACACCCAAGTCTGCATGTGGTACACACCGCCTCGCGAGGCGTCCCATTCCCCATAAAACTCCTTGCAGCGCAGGCCTTCCCCGGGCCCGAGGATCTTGCGTAGAAAAACAGTGGTGAAAGGAAACAAAAAATGAAAGCGACTTTTTCTCCAGGTCTGATATGCAGTGCTCCGAGCCATGCCCCCAGTTTTTGAACATAAGACAACAAAGTGAAGTTGGGAAAGAAAGACTCTAGACGAGGTCGTGTTGGGCAGGCTTGGCCGCCGAGTATCGTGCAATTTGTCCACGCCATGAGTGAGTCGAGTGAGGTCTGGTTGCCGTCCATCAAGGTGCGCACACAGTGCAGCGTGGATGGAAGCGTGTATAGTCTTGGTCGGCCCCGACAAGGGGGGCAAGTGGGTTGTGGTTCCACCAATCTAGTATGACCGCCTTCGTTGTATCCGGACTTGCTCAAAAGATATGGCATAAGCCTTGAGCTCCTGCCTCGACTTGTCGGACAGCTGTGCTGAGTCGACCGACGACGTGGTGCTCTGCATCGAGCAGAGGCTGCTGTGGGAGCTCGAAGGGGTGAGGTTCGAGGCCGAGGCGTCGAGGGCAGACGAGTCGCCCAGGTACAGGCCCACGCGGCTCGGGTAGCTATGCGTCGGCTTCCCTCTGCTGTGGCTGCCAAAGTCAATGGGCGGTGGCAGTTGGAAGCTGTTGCGGGTGGATGGTAGCGTCGAGGCCGTCAGGGCCATGGTCGACGTGGACCAAGGGTAGCCGTTGCAGGGGGGCGTCATGCCGGGCGAGCTGGCCTGGGAGCTGGGCGTCGTCGACGTCCACTCGTGGTCGGCTAGCCTGCACGACTCGGAGCAGTAGGCGGCGCCGTCGCTCTGCACCTGCTTGTCACAGGCCAGGCAGAACTGGTGCGTCCACAGATCGAGAGCCATGGTAGCGGGTGTGGATGGGAGAGGTTGTGGGTGGAGGAACGGTGCACCCGAAGAAGGACTTGCGGGACGGAGAGGGAGAGGAGAGTATCCCCTTTTAAACGGTTTGTCGACGGGCTCGAGCACAGAGGATTGCACGACGGGGTTGTGGCAGGCAAGCCCCTCGGGGTGGGCAGCGGGTTTGATGTCGAGCTCGTGAGTCAAGGCGGGACGGGGTGTATCTTGGAGCAGCAGAGTGGTGGCTCCGAGCTGGATGAGTTGTAGCAGTTCAAGATGGAAGACGAAGGAGAGGATGAGAAGCGGCAACAAGAGGAGAAGAAGACGAGGTGGTAGAGGCGATGATGGAAGAGGAGCTGGCGAGCAGGATGGAGATGGGGAGCAGGAGGAGGGCAGCGGGACGCATATGTATGTATTCGGCTGCTCACAGCCCACCACGGCCTGACAGTGGACTGAGTGGAGTGGTGCTGGATGACCACTTTTCCGCGAGACAAGAGGCTTTTTAGCGCCGTTGGCAGCTTGCGACTGGGCGCACTCTTGGTACCTGCCGACAAGTCCACATGTACCCATTTCGTGCGTGCATGTTAGCGGCACAGGCGGGGAGGGGAGGGGGGTGTCGACGGATCGGATCCCTCGTACCAGGGTACGGACGGACGGAGGCTGGCTTGCATATGGGGGGCCGGTATCGAGTACACGCCGGCGCTGCGGCAAAGTGGGAGGGGGGCTGGCGCAGGACCTAAGAGGCCCCATGGCGTGCATACAGGCTCGTGCCTTGTGTGGACGGGCGTCGCAATGGGCCTGGGGGGAAGGGGGGAGGGGGGTGAGAGAGGGGTCAGTTTAGGGAAGGGAGGGGGAAGGGGGGGTGTTTTGATGAGCGTGAATGGCAGTTGGTGGTGGATAGGTAGATTGGGGGATTTCACCACTGATCACGGTCCTCGACAGGTGGGGACCTTGTCGTTGTCGTTGTCGTCGTCGTCGCCGTGGTCCACGCCCTGCAGCGCACGATGGCGTCTGTCTGTCTGTCTCTTTCTGGGGGGAGGGCGCAGAGGTTATGCAATGCCTTGTGCGTGCGTGTGTGTATGTGTGTATGTGTGTATGTGTGCATTGCGCATGGAGAGCAGTCTACATACTCCATACTGTACGCATGTCGTCGTCGCCCTGCACGCATTCGTCGACAGAGCCGAATTGATTGACAGACAAGAGACCAGTTGCAGACACACATACACACACATACACACACATACACACACAAGCACACACAAGCACACACACACACACACGCACGCGCGCGCACACACACAGACACACAGACACACAGACACCCCGAGAAGAAGAAGAAGACGACGAAGAAGAAATGAGCACGAGGGACAAAGGGTCTCGATACCCGTCTTGGGTGAGTGCGTGCGCGCGTGCGTGCGCGGGCGTCCGGTGGGTTTGGCTCCCGGGCGGTGATCATGAGAGCAGAGGCGGCCGCCACGGCGCAGCCAGCTGCCCCGTTTCATGCTCCTCACCATAAACGGCCAGCTTGGCCAGCATCCTGGCCGCAAAACAACAGACAGGGACGGGGGCCTCAACAGGCTGCCGCTGCTCTGGCACTTTCCCGAGTCGCATGTCATGGCAAGAAGAAAAAGGCCATGGTCACGCCACGGCCATCGCGACCGTGTCATGTTTCGAGACGCCTTTTTTTAATGGGGTCTCTCGGTCTTCTCTTCCGGTCCCGGCCTCTAGTATGCCCCTCCAACAAGCGAGGCCGGAAAGCACGCCAGCAGAGGCCCGGGCCCTGCTTTCACGATGGGGATGATGATGCCATGCCACGCGCACGCCGTGGGTTCCAGGGCCACCATGGATGCCAAGCTCGCCAGGCACAGTGGCCAGCAAGTTGCCGGACCACGAGGCGTCCAACCCCGTGGAGGCTGGGCACGAGCTCGCACAATACAAATGCGAATAACGCCATCTATATTCATCGCGTGCATGCGCCCACCTGGATACTGTGCGTGCCGGGTGTTGGTGGGCCATGGACGAGACTCGCCATCGCCCTGCCCTTTGTTCGCCTCTGTCTGGCTCCCTCGGCCATGCCCTCCTCCGCCCCCTTGGATGTCCCCCCCCCTTGGATGCGCAGAGGAGCCTCGTTGGCAAGGGCCTGCAGCCTGAACAACGCTGGCGGGTTGCGAGATTCCTGGTGTCCGTCTGCACAAAGGGTTGACGAACCAGTGGTGGACGATGAATGGGTGGGTGGAGAAGCGATGCATGTTTATTACAGGCTCTCGAAATCCATCCATCCAGGCACGCACAATCCAGACACCCGTAACTTACGTGTACTGTAGATCTGTTGCTGTCAACAGCTGGGCATCTATCCGTCTGGCTGACTTTTCTCGAGGCTGCAAGCACCGTCGCAGCCGAGCAAAACACGCAACATGTGCATGGAATCTGCAGCGGCCGTGGCATGAGCAGCCACTCGGCGCAAATTGCCAAATGATGGGCATCGTCATGGCCGCCACCATGATCCTACCAGGCGCTTGCAGCAGGCAGCGGCTCGCTGCACTGCCAGCTGCTGCCTGCACCTGGCAATGCCTTGCTTGGCCAACCTTTTCCAGCAGGTTTTTTATTTTGTTGTTGTTGTTTTGCCCACGCCCTCTGCTGCAGCCCCTCTGGTGTTGTGCATTTTGCATTGAATTTGTTCACGTCGTCCTTGTCTTTGGCGGCTTGGCCCAAGTACAGTAAAACAAGAGCGCAGCGACGATGTATTCTCTCCCTTGGTCCCCCCCTCGCCAAGTGCGGTAAATACGTCGTCCGTGGCCCCTTTGTGGGCGCTTCCAACTGGAAATTACCCACCTCGGTCGGTGCCTGGCTAAAAAAGGTACCCGCGGTCGCGGCGCTGTTGTGAGCCGGCCAGAGCGAGGAGGGTAAAAACGGCTCCTCGGGGCCCACGACGAGGCGCAAGGAGGGGAGTGCATCCGCACCTGGTTAGTGGTTAGCAGTAGTCGGTGAGTCCCTACAAAGGGAGGGCAGAGAGACAGGCGAAAAGACGGCATCACGGACTCAGGCCTTTCTCATCATGTCTGGACTGGCCAGACCTGTTAGGCCCTTGTCTCAGCGCCCTGCCTTTGGGGGGGGCGCGCCTGAAGAATCTCGAGAACAGCAGCCAAGGGGCCTGGGGTGTGGCGTGCTGCAGGCCTCTCGCAACGCGGCCTAGCGCTGTCTCGCGCTAGAGGCCCTTTGCGGCCTGGCGCTGCGAACCAACGGAGCCAAGGCGTGCCGTTCCCCACTTGGCCCGGGCTGGCGTCATGTGTGCAGAGTGACTTGCGCCATGGTGGCGTATTTGCATTGTACATGATACAGCACGGTACGGAGCATCTGGAGTTTCTCTTTAATTACTACTGCACGAACCGTTTGGGCGGCCCTTCACGATACACTGTACTGTGTAGTGTACTGTAGGGACTGTAGGGACTGTATTGTATGTGCGTACATGCACGCACACAGAGAGACAGACAGACGACTCGCCCGCAGGGCGTCCGTCTTCTGCTTTGATGGATGGCATCGTCGTCGTGGCCCGAGGGCGCCCACCGCTTGCCCGTGCCCCCCGGCCTTTCCCACTCGTCGACGCCCCGCCGCGCAGCAGCGTGCGTCTGCCATGTTTCTTGTGGCGAGCCAGAGCACTGCAGCAGGCAGTCCCCTCTCGTCTGTCCTCGCCCGAGAGATTCTCGCCTCAGAGGTTCTCTCGCCTGAGAGGCGAGCCCGACACAAAGCGGCTCCCCAGGGGGGGGCCATGGCAGCGACCCGAGCTCGCCTCCGCCTCTGGCCCGCTGGCCGCGCCATCCAACGGCAACGGCTCGAGGGAAAAAAAAAAGAAAAGACATCGCGAAACCTCACTGGAACGTGATGCCGCGTGGGGGGTGGAGCCCGGGCTCCATGGCCTTGCATGGCCTTGCATCGCATGGCCTTGCATGCTGTTGCACCACGTTAGCCGTTGACCTCACATCAGTAGACCTCAGTAGACCGACCTTGGTGGCCCTCTGGCCACCCGTTCTCCAACTCGCCCATCAGGAACTGCCTCTGCGTGGAGCTGCAGACGACGTCCGAGACGGGCCAAGCTCTCGCTCCTCTGCATCGTTCGACCTGCAGCAGCCGTATGCACGCCCGCCCGCCGCCCATTGGCTGCCCAAGATTCTCGCCCTCCGCCCCGATCAATTGATTCGAGCAATTCACGCACACGTCCAATGAGAGCTTCAAATCCCTTCAAGGGCTACCCCGCGGATGGCTCATGGGTGCGTGGGTGCGTGTGTCTGTCAGTTCTGTCACCGTCCCCCTTGTCCATCGACGCACCTCTTCCTGGCCGTCTGGGTTCGAGTGCTCCAACTCATCTCAATGTGAGTCGTCGACTAGCCGGTTTGGATGCAACGCCCGTGACTATTTGAGGACTTGACACGGAAGCTTATTGAGACGGGCTGCGCAAAGGCCACGCCATACATTGTTCTGGAATCCCAGGGTGCGCAAAGGGGCTCAAAGTCCGAGCCCAACCGGTCTTTTCCCCATCCACTGCCGGGCCATGGCCAACGGCCAAACAAAGTCGTCAGCTCGCTGCACTATGATGTCTTGGTGTGTCGTGATGATCCTCGAGCCGTCTTGCTTGTCCACCCTCCTTTGGCTCCAGCATGGGGGGTCGGGTAGGCGGGGGAGGCAAGAGAGAGAGAGCTCTGCCGCGCAAACCAACAAGGGAACGACGAGACGAGCGACACCACATGTCATGTATAATCTATTAATCTGCATCGCTCTGGGCGCTGGAGCCATGTGGCCGACGCCGTTGGTGTGGCCCGCTACGTTGGCTAGGCATGTTTGGACCGCGGCCTGGCCTTCTGCTCGTCCTCGGGGGGAACCATCAAATCCTGTCCAGCAAATCATACTGTACAGACAAGCCTTCTCTCTCTCCGCGCTGGGCCGAGTTGACAGGGGACTCAGGACTCACCACCTGACCTCTTCGTATCGCCCTCCAGACAAGATTCGGGGCG